AAAAAAAAAAAAAAAAAAGTAATTTTTCTGCTTCAAAGCTTTGTTTTGCCTCATGAAAACTGGAAATATGGCAAAAACATTTTGATGCGAGACACTTCAATGAATCATTGGGCTGAAAACTAACGCATATCACTGTGAATCACATACGTGTGTAAATAAGGCTTTGGTGGAGAGGAGCGGCTCTAAAGAGAGAGCTTCAGCAGACATGTCTGCAAGTTAATGAGAAACACATGCGAGTTCACGTCTTCACAGTATGAGAGCTTCGAAACTTTACTCCCTTCCTCCCAAACTACCTGCTTTTAAATCTAAATGAACATCTTGTCATAACCAGATAATTACATGTTTCCACTCCTCCTGGGATCGTTTTTGGGATCACCCATTTAAATAATATGTTACGGGGATTTGCATCCAGGCCAAGAATATCTGAGCTTATTTAAAGGGATAGTTCACCCAAAAATCAACATGCACCTTCATGTTTTTTCCAAATTGTATTATATTGTCCTTTAGTGGAATACAATAGATGGCTTGCTTACAAAAGAACATCAGGAGTTCAAACAGCCGATAAAAAACATCACAATAATCCACAGGTGAAGCGGAAAGCTGCTTGTTTGTAAGAAATAAATCCATCAAGACATTTTTAACTTCAAATCGCTGCTTCTGGCTAAAACATGAATCCTCTATCCATAATTTGAAAAAATCCATTGCTTACTTCAGTGAAAAAGTTGTCTTGTCTGAATCAGGAGAGAAATATGCACAAATCAAGCACTGTTTAAAAGCAAAAACAGTCCAAAACAGTTCTAAACAAATATGTCAGTGGATTTTGATGTGAGAGGGGGGTGATCTTTTTCACTGGAGGAATTATGGATTATGGACCTGCAGTTTTAAGATTTGTGTGGATTACTTGTGGAATATTGTGACGTTTTTATGTTGTTGTTTTTTTCCAGCTGTTTGAATTCTCATTCTGACGGCACCCATTCACTGCAATGGATCCATTGGTGAGCAAGTGATGTAATGCTAAATTTCTCATTTTGGTTGGCCTGAGGGCGCGTACATTTTTAACCATTTTTCTTTTAGGGCAAACGATTCCTTTAAATTTTGGTCTGTTTTTCACACAAATCTATTAAATGACTTGAAAAATCTCGGAATATAATGAATAAGTCAGATATGACCAATAATAACTTTCATGATACTATCATGAATTGGGCCGTCACAATATCAGAAAACACAACTGTCATTGCTCATACCAAGAGTAGAGTATACAGCCGAACAGTATGGCCGTTCCGATGCCCGTCACTATGTTAGTCTCGCTCTGCAGTCCTGAATTGTAGGGAAAGACGCAGACAGTGACATTTTTTCCATTTCGCTCCACCACTGAAAGAGAAAGAGCACAGGACAGATTTTAATAAGGGCATGGAAATAACTGCATAAGTCTGGAGGGTTGAAATGTATTATTGGGAGCTGCTGTAGCCTCAGTTTACAGCTCTGTCCATACACAAGCTAGGAGACACCAGGGAAACCACAGAGCTCACTGTGAGACACACCCAGGACAGGTGACAGACACACTCACTTTCAATGGGTTTGCTGGCGAGTGCTGAGAAGGTGAGGTACATGACGTAGACAGAGATGATCGCGGACTGCAGCAGACCTGAAGTGGGCTGGACTGTGTGGAGAACAGAGCAAAACATCAGATGTGTTAGTGAAAAGCAGCACATCAAGATTTTTACTGATCTGACCATGTCTGTTTGAGAGTTTATGCTTATTCATACATCATGTTTCTTTATTAAAGGGGTCATATGATGTGATTTCAAGTTTTCCTTTCTCTTTGGAGTGTTACAAGATGTTCGTGAATAGATAAGATCCCTAAAGTTGCAAAGACTAAAGTCTCAAACCCAAAGAGATATTCTTTATAAATTTAAGATTTGTCCACGCCCTCCTAAAACGCCTCGTTTAAACAAGCCCCCATATGTCTACGTCACTGTGTGGGAAGATTTGCATAATGCTGCCCAAATGTTCACGCAAAGAAAGAAGGCGTAACTTTGATTCTCACTGTAGTATTGTTGTTGCCGCCGCCTCCATGTCGTCGAGATGCTGTGTGTTTTGTTGTGAAAGCGAAACTACTTTGTACGCACTGGATAGCTGGCCAATCACAGCACACCTCGCTTTCAGAACGATGAGCTTTGTAACAATCGATGCGTTGCAGAAAGGTGGGGCATAGAAGAGAAACAATAATGTACAGCATGTGGAAAATAATGTGTTTTCTGAACCTTAAACTGCATAAACACATTTCATTACACCAAATACACAAAATATTTTTTAGCAACATCATATGACCCCTTTAAATGAACTATGTACACTACTGTTCAAAAGTTTGAGGTCAGTTTAAATTTTTTTTTTACATTCTTGAAAGAAGTGGCTTATGCTCACCAAGGCAGCATTTGTTTGCTCAAAAAGTAAAGACAGCAATATTGTGATTTTTTTTTTTTTTTTTT